GGGCCAGATGCAGGCAAGCCAGATGTTTGCAGTTGCATGGCCCCCCTAAATCACTAGTCCATAGAAAAGATTTAGGAAGAGGGGGTGCTCTCTCCCTTCCAAGATGCTCAGAGGGGTGTCTGGCCCCCCTGCCCCCTGCCCCAGGAACATGGAGAGTCTGTATCCCACCTGATTATACAGCACTGGTCCTTCTTGTTTTTCTTAATGTTGAAGTAGCAGTTGTTGGCAATGGCAAAGATGTGCGGAGGCAGCTCACCCACATGGCGGCTGTAGTACAGCTGCACCTGCTCCAGGGTATAGAGGGGCAGCACCTGGAACGGGTTCATGGCCACCAGGATGGAGCCTGTGTATGTCTGGGGAAGACAGCAGAAGATCAGTGCCCTCCACTCTGAGGGCCAGCACTGCCTGACCCTGACCTTGGCCTTGGGTGCAGCCCCTTGTGAGCTGCAGGAGCAGCTGACTCTGGCAAGAAAGGGAGTCTGATTCTGGCCGGGAGACAAGACACACAGCTGCTCAGATCCTTCCTCTGGAATGATAGGGGTGTTCGCCATGAGTAAGAACTTGGAGCAGAGGGCGCATTCACAGGAAGAGTAAACGAGGTGGTTGTTGCTAATGCTTGGCATTCTATCTGGTATTTAGAAGAGGCTTGATACAAATGGGCTATACATATATGGCAGTGTTCACCTGTCTTCCATGGGGCCTCCATGAGACTGGCCAATAGTTACAGTCCCCACTGATCCCTCCTGGGAACCTAGTTCAGGACCACCTGCTCATGTGCAACCCAGACACTAGCCCTGCCTGCCCCTGTGGGGGTGGGACAGGGGCAGCCACCTGCCAAGTCACACGATCATCCCTGTCTTAGTCTTCATTTTAGGAGTGAAAAGAATAAGCTCTCTCGCTGCAAGGACTTTGATAACCAGATTTAAAAGAAGGCAAGCATAGGCTTTATGAAAAGAACGAGCTGTGGTCCAGCCTACTATGTTTATCAGTCCTGGGAGCTCCACTACACATTCAGCTGGAGTGGGCTCAGAGGACCCTGTGCCCACCCCTCGCATGGCTGCCTCATTCTCTTCTCTCAGCCTTCCTCCTATTGTGGGTCCCCTGCTCACTCTCTCACTCTTCTGAGCATCCCAGAAGAATGGCTGGTCAAAGCCAATCCAGCCACCTCTCCTTATGGTAGGCCCACGTAAGCAGTAACTTTCCCAGGTCACACCCACTTTAGGCAGGGCTGGTGTCAATTTTAAAATACTGCTTGACCTGGAAAAGTCTGCACTGGAATAGAGATATGAGCCTTAGGGCTGAGGTGAACCTCCCATCCACTGCCAGGATTGGGAAAAAGACCTATATCTACCCTCATGGCCCTCTTGGCTGTCACAAGACTCACTTCACGGGAGGGCTGGGTGACCTGGTGACCCTGTCTCTGCCACATGCCTAGGAAGGGAACTTGTGGAAGACTGCCTATCCCCATGGCCTCTGCTCTACTCAGCTATCAGAGTAGGCCTTCTGCTAAGCCATACATGAAGGGAAGAGGCAGCACTAATTGAGCACCTATTGTGTGCCAGGCACTGAGCTGGCATATTATGTACCAGCTTTCTGCACCCTTGAGGACATTATCACCCTCTCTTTTTCAGGTTAGGGAGCAGAGATGGGGAAATGTTAGGCACTTCACCCACATCACACAGTAAGGCCGTGAGGATTGAACTGGGTGTTCCTGGCCCCATACCGCCAGCACACGGTGCTCCTCCCCAGCCCGAACATCAGCATGCATGGACCTAGCCCCCTGGGGAAGCCCCATGAGGACACAAGGACTCACGTAGATCTTGTGTCGTTGGTAGCGAATAAGGAGGTTGTGCACCATGCCTGCCTCGTTCAAGTCGCCCAGGCGGATCATGTCATCCACACCCTGGGCCGAGTTGGGGTGCATGGGGCTGAGGGTGCCAAGGTCCTTTGTTTGGATCCAGTGTTCCTGGAACGAAGGGCATCGATGCCTGTGAGAGGCAGCCTCTGCAGGGGCCAACCGACTGCACCTCTCTCCAAGTTTTCATAGATCGCTGACCCAGTACCTCTCTCTGGTCAGGGTCAGTCTGTAGCTAAGGTCAAGAGACACCTGGGACAGCACCAGGTCAATCTGTGGCTGAAGTCAGCATGTGTCTAGGGCAAAGCATCAGTGTGCAGCTGAGGACTAGGGCTGAACTGCAGACCAGGGTCAGCGGAGCTTATAGTCACAAGTTATATTTGGCTGTTTGCCATGAGAAGCCTCAGAGATTGTTGAAATAAAAGTGTGCAAGTAAAAAATATATATATATATACATATTTATAAAAATATATATATGCA